TGCGTATGTATTTGGACATACAATACACAACTATATTTGGAAAAACGCTTCCAAATTCAAAAACTTAAGTGATAATATGAATAACTAAAAGAAATTTTGGATGCCTCAAAGTATGTATGCCTCGTGAAATACGATACAATAAAATTCGAACACATTCAGACAATTACAAAAGCCGCCTCGAGGATTACCCGAACTCACATGCCACACAACTTCGCCAGAACACTACCAGGGGAAATTTGCAAAAAATTCAAGCTACATAAATATCTATCAATTTTCAAAAAGTTTGACTATGTTCAAAAGATTTTGTGTTTTAAGGTCATTTTTTCTAATCCTACAGTTGTTCATTTTAGGACAGGTTTAAAGATTACTAGTTTATAATAAAAAAAAATATACGTGTTTGTATATTACTGCAAAATTTATAGGTAAATTTAAAGTAAAAACTAAACATTCAAAATTTTCCCTAAAACAGTTACACGAATGCGTAAATTTTTATATGCGTAGTGCATCATGCCAAGCAAGAGTAAGATTTTGAAAAAAAAAAGCTTTTTCATTCTATTATATCTCATATTTACACCTGAGGTCAATATAAGTAATAAGTCTTTATCAAATAATTAAATATCTTTTTAAATTTATAATTTTCAAGAAAAAATGAAATCGTAAAAGAATTGCCCCGGGTGAGGATCGAACTCACGACCTTAAGATTATGAGACTTACGCGCTGCCTACTGCGCTACCGAGGCTCGATAATCCTTGCGCTTATTTCGGTACCGTACAAAATTTGGACGATGATTATTTAATAATTATTTTTGTACATGTTAATAATCATATCTTCTTATTTAACTTCAAATTCTAAAATACTTATGTATATATCATAAGTGAAGCAGAACAAGTTCAGTTCAAGTTCAAGCATTGTATTAAAATTGCGGTTACAAAAATACTAATTATTTATTTATTTTTGAGGAATCTTTTAGAATAGATTTTAATTATCCATATATCCCAAACTCACTGAATATCTGTTTTTTGTATAAGACAGATTGTAATTAATGAAATAAATAAAAAAAATATATAAACGCCAATATGCTATGTAAAGTAAATTTGTAATATAGTATTGATAATTTTATAACCTAAGCTACTAGTATAAAATTTTAATGTTTATGGGCGAAATACTGACTATAAGTGGTATATATAGACAAAATACCAAAGTGGCTTTATTTGAAAATTGAATAGTTTTCCGCGACCGTACAAGTTGCAAAAAACATAGTAACAATCCTGTCAGATGTTGAGCGTCATTGTCATAGTCTTCTTGTGGTAATCCGTTCAAACATGTATTGCGTCTACAAAAGTTTTTGGTTAAGGTGGTTTTCTCATGTCTTTTTTTAGACTTATTCATTGATATTTGTAATTATTTTTATTAAAATCAAAAAAATATGCCAGTACTAGAGGGCCGTTCAAGTATTACGTAAGCACTTATAGGGGGGGGGGGTTATTGATTTCTTATTTTGGGTGACATTTTGGTGACAGCTTTGCTTACTTTTGCTGACAAAGGGGGGTTAACAATTTTATTCCAATTATCAAGTGTTCCGTTTTGTTCTGACAAAATGACATACTTAAACAATCGACAAAATGACTATTTTGCAAGAACTATAGGGTTGCTTATTCCAGGCAAATAAAAATTTAAACCTGTTAGAGGTGATTGGTTTTTAACATCTATTCTAACCACTTTTAAAAACAGACCAAAAATGCACCGGCAAAGAAAGACTTGCAGTTTTTGCAAAGACCTCTTTTCCCGTTTTGAGCCGTTGATTATGATGTACGATTTGCTGCCTTTAGGGTCATATGTAATGCGCTGATATCCCAAAGAGGTCTAACCGATTTATTTGTTAACTGCCTTCAAAAGTTTGGACAAAATGGTTTTTGTGCCATGTTGCATTTTTCTTTGATAAATATGTTATTATAGTTCTTACTATAAAATTAATCTGTTACAAGTACATAATGAATCTAAGATGAGTAAAAACGATTGAGACTGATTATAATATCACTAAATAAACTAGTGGTGTATGGCATCGTGCCTTAAGGCAAATTGCTGGAACTTTTCGTGTTTTTATATAGATTTTTATAAATATTGTAACATTGCCTAATATTTATAAGAATTAGATACACTGAATTGCCAAAGTTGAAACTATTTGTTTAAAGTATATTAGAATAGAATTAAAATTGAAATCTGAATTATTTTCGATAAACAAAAAAAAATATGTTCTTGAAAAAAACATTTTTTTTTGAAAAAAAAAATTAGGAACATTTTTTCCCCAAAAACAATTATTTTGTTGAAACGTGCAGAAAGTTCCTTGAATAATTTTGAATAATAATAAAATAATTCAAATCGGATGCTTAGTTCTCTCAAAAACTGCCATTTTTTGCAAATTTAGCCTTGTATCTTTGAAATGGCTGGACCTGTCTTTGCCAAAAACTAATCACCTCTTCTACAAACCATTATAAATTGAATGTTTTTTAGATCATTAAAATCGGATACTCCGTTCTCTCAAGATTTGCATTTTCTGCATTCTTTGCTCTGTATCTCCGTAACGACCGGATCTGCCTTTGCCAACAACTAATCATCACATCTCCCTATCAATAGGAGTGGAACCATTCAAATCGGTTGAGCCGTGCGCCCGAAAACGTGGACGAAAAAATGCGGACATAAAAAACACACACATACAAAAACATTCATTTTTCTGAGGTATGTTCAGATATCTTCAAAACGTCGAGAAATACAAAAATTTTCATTTTCGATTTTCGGCCCATTACTATAACTACCCTATATAATAATATAATATAATAAATATAATAAATACATATTCTGTGTAAAATACGTATTGATTAAAATGTAATATTGTTATTTTGCTCACCAGATGTGCCTCCCTGGTTGTGAAAGTGACCGGATCCTGAACATCCCCGGACGGGCAACTGTAATCCAAGCGTCCAGCAACAGATATCAATTTGCTTCCGGTTCGTGCCAGATCGATTAAATTTAAATTAAGCGTGTCAGCCGTAAATTCCACCTGTCGGATATATAATAATGGTATGTGATTTCCTGTTTTATATCATACAATCAAGCCAGAATCAGATATATGCATGAGTTATATATGGATTTTTCATAAATATTTTTCACCTCATGCGGATATGGAAATTTTCAGAAACTTATTAAAATCAATCATTTTTTATACGTTTATATACTTTTATAATTATTTGAAAATTTAAAGAATTATCTTCTTATCTTTGAATCATTGAACATTTTTTTTAAAGAAAGATTCTTAATACTAAATTCTTTAAATCAGCATGCTAAAGTTAAAATTAATCACTTTTTTTATCGGAGTTAGTAAGAAAGTGTGCATTTTTATATTTTTTTGATATATACATTTGCATTTAAATTTTGTATACATTTTCTCCAAAATCAAATTTTGTAAAAAATATCGCTTTTAGTGTCCATTTTAGGTCGAGCCTTATCACTTGTGTTAAGCCTTGAAGCTAAACTTATGAATTTTTGTATTCAGTAGTTTTCTTTACCTTCGTGTACATTATATATATATATATATATATATATAATTCTAGACTATTTTTATATAATTTTATTTTATATAAGCATACAAGAAAAGCCGGGGGCTGTCCCGGATCGCACCATAACTTCCCAAAGCAAACTATAAATTTTATATAGAAATAGATAGCATAGAATCTATATCGCTTTATAAGCTGATTGCTTTTTCTCACCAAAATCGAGAAATATTTTGTTATGATCTTTACATTTTGGATACATGTCTATTTACAAAACAACAATAAATCAATATAAATAATTCAAATTTACGATAACTTTAATAGTCGATAATGAGACCAGGACGTGGTCGTGGCCAGTGAGCTATTTCT